TCCAGTCTCATTGTAAACTTTCAAATAGTCACTAAAGGAATGGTTGAGGACTACCTCTAATCCTACGTTAGGCACAAAAGCCGGCTGGGTGACTTTGGGCCAATCACCAGGCGATGGTGAATTATAGTTCCGCCTTAGGCAGGAAAAGCATTGGATGGCTTTGAGCCAATCACCAGGAGATGGTGAGTTCTAGTCCCGCCTTAGGCAGGAAAGGCTGCTGGGTGACTTTGGGCCAATCACCAGGCGATGGTGAGTTCTAGTCCCGCCTTAGGCATGAAAGCTGGCTGTGTGACTTTGGGCCAATAGCCAGGCGATTGTGAATTCTAGTTCTGCCTTAGGCAGGAAAGGCATTGGGTGGCTTTGAGCCAATCACCAGGAGATGGTGAGTTCTAGTTGCGCCTTAGGCAGGAAAGGCTGCTGGGTGACTTTGGGCCAATCACCAGGCGATGGTGAGTTCTAGTCCCGCCTTAGGCATGAAAGCTGGCTGTGTGACTTTGGGCCAATCACCATGCGATTGTGAATTCTAGTTCTGCCTTAGGCACGAAAGGCAGCAAGTGGCTTTGAGCCAATCACCTGGAGATGGCGAGTTCTAATTCCGCCTTAGTCAGGAAAGGCTGCTGGGTGACTTTGGGCCAATCACCAGGCGATTGTGAGTTCTAGTTGCGCCTTAGGAAGGAAAGGTGGCTGGGTGACTTTGCGCCAGTCCCTCTCTCTCAGCCCAACCCACCTCACCTCACAGGGCTGTTGTTTTGGGGGAAAATAGGAGAAGGTGTGGGTTATGTTCACTGCCTTGAGTTATTTGTAAAAAAAATAATAAATGAGGTTCAAATAAATAAATAGATAAAAAATAACATGGGTTCCATCCCTGGACAAGGGGGTTGGACTAAATGATCTCCTAGGTCCCTCAAAACTTTCCTTCCTTCCACGTTGACTGAGCTTTGTTGAAGCCAGACGATTTTCTTTGGAATTCCCTTCCGGGGAATTCTATTTATACCACGGAGATTATTTTGGCATCCCGAATATTTGTCCCCCCGGCCTTGTCAAAACTAAAGTGTCTTGGCTTCCAACCAGAGGCGGCATTAATGGGAAAAAGATCCAGACAGACAAAACTTGGCAAGAGAAAAAAAAACCTTTCCTTCTGGTCCAGTGGCCGTAAAAACATGCACAGGCAGTCCTTGACTTACGACATTTTTGGCTGAATTGTGGTCATAAGTCAAGGACTATACATACCTGTGCTGCCTTCCCCAGTTGGGAAAAGCTTGCATCTCGGACAAATCCTCAAGTATTTCAATGTCCACATAGTAAAATAATCTGGGGGGTCTCTTGGGAGAGAAGATGGATTGCTCCATGGAAGCTTTTGGATTGCTCTGGGTCTCTCTCTCATTCTCCCTCTCTTTTGCTCTTTCTATCTCTTTCTGTCTCTCTCTCTCTGTCTCTCAGTTTCTCTCTGTCATTGTCTCTCTCTTTCTCCCTCTCTCTTTCCCTCTTTCCCCCCTCTCTCTTTCTCTCTCTTTCTCTCATTCTCTCTCTCTCCCTCCCTCTCTCTTTCTCATTCTCTCTCACACACTTTCTCTTTCTCTCACTGTCTCTCTCTTTCTCTCTCTCCCTCTCTCTGTTTTTCTCTCTCTGTTTCTGCTCCTCTTTCTCTCTTTCTCCCTCCCTCCCTCTCTCTTTCTCAGTCTCTCTCACACACTCTTTCTCTCACTGTCTCTTTCTCTCTCTTTCTCTGTTTCTCTCATTCTCTCTCCCTCCCTCCCTCCCTCTCTTTCTCATTGTCTCTCTCACACACACTTTCTCTTTCTCTCACTGTCTCTCTTTCTCTTTCTCTCTTTCCCTCGCTCCCTCTGTTTTTCTCGCTCTCTGTTTTTTCTGTTTCTCTCACTTTCTCTCACTTTCTCTGTTTCTCTCATTCTGTCTCTTTCTCCCTCCCTCTCTCTTTCTCATTGTCTTTGTCACACACTTTCTCTTTCTCTCACTGTCTCTTTCTCTCTCTCTCTCCCTCTCTCTGTTTTTCTTCTCTGTTTCTGTTTCTTTCTCTCATTCTCTCCCTCCCTTTCTCTCTCTCTTTCTCAGTCTCTCTCACTGTCTCTTTCTCTCTCTTTCTCTTTCTGTTTCTCTCATTCTCTCTCTCTCTCTTTCTCATTGTGTCTCTCTCACACACTTTTTCTCTCACTGTCTCTCTGTCTCTCTCTTTCCTTCTCTCCCTCTCTCTCTGTCTCTCTGTTTTTCTCTCTGTTTCTGTTTCTCTGTTTCTCTCATTCTCTCCCTCCCTCCCTCCCTCTCTCTTTCTCAGTCTCTCTCACACACTCTTTCTCTCACTGTCTCTTTCTCTCTCTTTTTGTTTCTCTCATTCTCTCTCTCTCTCCCTCCCTCCCTCTCTTTCTCATTGTCTCTCTCACACATTCTCTCTGTCTCTCTTTCTCTCTCTCTCTTTCCCTCGCTGCCTCTGTTTTTCTCTCTCTCTTTCTGTTTTTTCTGTTTCTCTCACTTTCTCTCACTTTCTCTCTCTCTTTCTCTCATTCTGTCTTTCTCCCTCCCTCTCTCTTTCTCATTGTCTTTGTCACACACTTTCTCTTTCTCTCACTTCTTTCTCTCTCTCTCTCTCTCTCCCTCTCTCTGTTTTTCTCTCTCTCTTTCTGTTTCTCTCACTTTCTCTATTTCTCTCATTCTCTCTCTCTCTCTCTCCTTCCCTCCCCATTCGTCCTTCTCCTCCTTCTCCCCTGGTGCCCATTGCAAAAGGTGAATAATTCATATCTCTCCGTCCTGCTTCCTGTTTTATTTTTGCGTCTGTAATGCTCACCATCTGAGGCCTGAATCATTCATAAGCTTTCCTTCCAGAGCTGCAGGGAGCCGGACTCGGAGAAGCTTGCGATACGTGGGAAGTGGTTTGTAACACAGCCGAACGGGTCCACGAACGTGGAATGGAAAACACTTGATCAGCTCTGTTTCTGCAATTATAGCTCTGGCCTTCCCATTTCCTCGGGGACCATATAAACTATTAGGAGAGGAGTTTAAGCCACTACAGGTACCATTTGACCATTTGAAGATACGACGGACCCCGAGCAAAGGGACGTGGTCTCGTTCCGACGGCCACTTTCTGCCCCTGTGGTCACGTGATCCCGTTTCTAAGAATCTGCATGGATGACCATTTGCAGGGTCTTAAGTCATCCCGACTGCAATTTTGGGGAGAAACCCCCTGCAGTCTATACCGGGGGTCTCCAACCTTGGCAACGTTAAGACTTATGGACTTCAACTCCCAGAATTCCTCAGCCAGCAACTTTGCGACTTGTGGACTTCAACTCCCAGAATTCTGTCTGAGGAATTCTGGGAGTTGAAGTCCACAAGTCGTAAAGTTGCCAAGGTTGGAGACCCCTGGTCTATACGGCAAGAGTTGATCCATTCTAACTCTCTGCAGTGGTGGGTTCCTCCCGGTTCGGTCCGGTTCGGCCGAGCCGGTAGCGATGACGATATGATGTCACCGAACCGGTTCTCCCCCCCCACCCCCCACATTATTCTTACCTTTTATTTGGTCCCACCCCCAATCTATTGCTGCCTCCTGGGTCCCAGCTGATGACTAGAGGGAAAAAAACTGTTTAAACTCTTGCCGCGGGGCTTCAAAGGGCCGCCCTACAGCTGATCAGTGTTAAAAGCAAACAAATGAGTTGGGTCGTAAGTGCGAGGACTGGTCGTAAGTGCGAGGACCTTCCAGAAATGACTCTGGCCAGCTAGCCATGCCCACCTAGTCACATGACCTCCAAGCCACACCCACAAAATAAGCCACGTCCACAGAACCGGTAGTAAAAAAAATTAGAACCCACCCCTGACTCTCTGCCTACCCAAATTTTGATTTTGACTGAAGAAGTTAACTTGGATGAGTAACGGAACGTCTCAGTTTCGTCGGTCATTGTCCGAAACGTCGGTCCTGTTGCCGTGATTAAACCTTTTGAGATATTCCTGGATTTAAGCGTTCCAATTGATGCGTATCAGAGTGCACCGGCAGTTGTGAGTTGCTAACAATTTTTCACATGAGAGTAGTGAATTAAGAACGGACTCATGGTTCACAACATTTTTGTGGCCGTACGACAGTTGTCAGGAGAGCGTGATGGCTCAGCGGTTAAAGAAGTTGAGCTTGTCAGCTGGAAATCTGACAGTCGAGGTTCGAGTCCCGAGCACTGCAAGACGGGGTGAGCTCCCGTCACTTGCTCCAGCTTCTGCCCATCTAGCAGTTCGAAAGTCAAGGAGGTGAGATGGCTAAGTGGTTAAAGACTCTGATTTTGCCAATTGTAAAGCTGACAGTCGAGGTTCGAGACCCAGCACAATGCAACGGGTGAGTTCCCGTTCCTTGCTCGAGCTCCTGCCCACCTGGCAGTTCGAAAGCATGCAAATGTGAGTAGATAAATAGGTACCACTTCGGTGGGAAGGTCATAGCGTTCTATGTGGCTTGGTGTACAGTCATGCCGGCCATGTGACCACGGAAGTGTCTTTGGACAATGTTGGCTCTCTTGGCTAGGAAATGGTGATGAGCACTGATGCCTAGAGTCAAACACAACTGGACAGGAGAAACCTTTACCTCACGACAGGTGAAGCTTCCCTTATCATGGATGGTGCCAGCAGGCCTGGAGTTGTCACCTTTGATCCTAGGTGTGATGCAACCTCTTAACAATTGGGGGCTATTTAGGGAGTTCTGCAATGACAATTCTTGTAATTTCAATACATAATTCAGATTTATTGTGGATTTATATGGAGGTTTATAGATCTCTACAAATGCAACTTTAAGACGTGTGGACTTCAATTCCCAGAATTCCCCAGCCAGCCATCTTGGCTGGGGAATTCTGGGAATTGAAGTCCATCTTGGCAGGCTGGGGAATTCTGGGATTTGGAGTCCTCCCATTTTCAAGGTTGGAGAACTTTGACTGGTGAAAAATGGTGGAACCTTCACGAGATGTTTCTCCTAACCAAGTTCCTCCAGGATTTAACCCAGTTCTTCTTCATTTTTGCAGGGGTCTCGCAAGCCCTGATGGACATCTGATCGCTTGCAACCCGCCAGCTGGGAGAGCATGGTTAAACACCAGCCACTGCAATATTACGAGCCCCAGTTGTGTTTGTCATGCCTGACGGGAATTTATGGATGCCGGTGGAAGCGATACCAGCGGTCACATGATGACACCACCAAGGTGAGTCACCGGCGGGCCAGGACGGCCATTTTGAATGGGTAAATCCCGACGGCGGGATCCAAGATTTGATAATAAATTCTCAGGACCCTCAGAATCTGGATTTCAGATTCTTACGACCTGGGATTAGAAGCTGGATTGCAATCAACCATCTTGTCACTATGGCTCTCTCTTCTAGTTGGATATTATACAGAAATGCAGGGAGTCCTCGGCTTACGACCACAATTGAAATCAACATTTCTGTTGCCACGCGAAACATTTGCGAAGTGTGTTTTTGTCCCATTTTACGACCTTCCTTAAGGACCTGAGTTGCAAAGTGAATCACCACAATTGTTCAGATAGTAACACGGTTGTTAAGTGAATCGGGCTTCCCCGTTGACGGTCAGAATTTATTTATTTATTATTTATTTATTATTCGTATTTCTATGCCGCCCAACTCTCCAAGGACTCTGGGCGGCTTACAACAAAGACGGTATAAACAATATACAATAAAAGACGTTAAAAACCCATACAGAATGTCGCAAAAGGGGATCACCTGACCCCAGGATGCTGCAACCGTCATAAATACGAGTCAGTTGCCAATTTTGATCATGTGACCATGGGGATTCTGCAAAAGTCAATGTGGTGAACAACGGTCGTAAGTCACTTTTTTCCAGTGCCGTTGTAAACTTTGAATGCTCACTAAATGAACTGCTGTAAGTCGAGGACTCCCTGTACATCAGTGGGTCCCGGATAAATGTCTGTGAAGATTGTCAATCAAAGATGCTTTTTCCAAGAAGGCAACTGGACTTTCTTGCTTTTTTTTCCCTTTGAAATTGTTTCGCTTCTCATTTAGGAAGATTCTTCAGTTCTCGGAAACGCTTCTCAGAACTAAAGAAGCTTCTGGGATGAGAAGCGAAACGTTTTCAAAGGGGGAAAAACAAAATACCCAAGAAAATCCAGTTGCCTTTTGGAAAAAAGCATCTTTGGGACATACAAATTGAATTAATAAATAATAAATAATAAAACCCCTTTTAAGACTGTTGAAAAGGGAAGCATTGCTGTAGAAATCTGAGAGGAAATTGTAGTGTGTGATTGTTGCGTATTTAAGATAGAATTGGGCATAAGCTGCATTGGTGAAGACAACCGTGTGAAATCTCCAAGTTTGGAGACAGAATTCTTCTAGTTAGAAGAACAACTGTCAGGTTTCGAGATCGTCTCAAATAAATTGCATTTCAAACAAAGTCTTTGAAGAAAAACTCCCATTTATTAAGCACGACATTCTAACTCCGAGTCCATCGCAGCCAACACTGACTTCCAGACCCAAAACCCTCCCTTTCCATTCCCCACTCCTCTGCACTCATTGGCCATCTTCCAAGTCACTCTACCCCTAATCTACTGCTCCAGCTCAAAGGAATTTCCCCCCTCCCATCCCATCTCCTAGGGGATATTATCTCCAGGGAAAATAAGTAGGTGAAAAGTCAAACGTCCCTTTCCAGACGCCTCCGCTTCTCCTTCTTATGTCAGCACTAGAGTAAATGCAGCTTGAAGTGCTGACAACAACAATGATTAAACTTGGTCAATGTTAATTTCCTAGGCATTTGACTGTTTTGGGATGTTGGAGAACCAGATTGTGGTTCATGCTAGAATTGTATTCTTTTTATAAGGCCTTGGTAAGGCCACACTTGGAATCCTGCATCCAGTTTTGGTCGCCACGATGTAAAAAAGATGTTGAGACTCTAGAAAGAGTGCAGAGAAGAGCAACCAAGATGACGAGGGGCCTGAAGGCTAAAACACACGATGAAGGGTTACAGGAACTGGTCATGGCTAGTCTAGTGAAGAGAAGGACCAGGGGAGACATGACAGCAGTCTTCCAATATTTGAGGGGCTGCCTTAGAGAGGAGGGGGTCAACCTATTCTCCAAAGCACCTGAGGGCAGGACAAGAAGCAATGGATGGAAACTTATCAAGGAGAGAAGCAACTTAGAACTAAGGAGAAATTTCCTGACAAGTGAGAAGAATTAATCAGTGGAACAGCTTGCCACCAGAAGTTGTGGGAGTTTCATCACTGGAGGTTTTTAAGAAGAGATTGGATAACCATTTGTCTGACGTGGTGTAGGGTTTCCTGCCTAAGCAGGGGGTTGGACTAGAAGACCTCCAAGATCCCTCCCAACTCTGTTATTCTATTCTAACTTTAAGATGGGTAGACTTCAACTCCCAGAATTCCCCATGCTGGCTGGGGAATTCTGGGAGTTGAAGTCCACCCATCTTAAAAGTTGTCAAATTTGAGAAAAACCCTGCCCGGGATGATCAAAAGTTTATTCCTGGTAATGATAGTTATTAGAAGAACGATATAAAGGAGTTTTTTGTGCCCCAAAGCTATAACATTGCCTGCACCATAATTTTGAATCACTGATTCTGTTTTGTTTGCCATAATTTCTTAATTTTTGCCCTTTAAGGTTGTAGCAGACACCCCATCCCTGTATTCTTCTTGCTTTTAGCCCCCTTATATTTGATGCAAAACCTTTCAAAATTAGGAGAACCTTCCTGGAGGGTTTTAAAATGGCAAAATAATCAGAAATGTTATTTGCAGGAGGCTAAAAGCTGGAGAGAACATCATTTCCTCTAAGCAAGATTCATTTTAATAGAAAGAAGCGTTGGAAAACGTTTTGTCTGTTTTATTTTTAAATAAACGGTTCAAGTGTTCTTTTTTTCTCTCGATGCCTTTTTATACATGCTGGATTTAATTAATATTTCAAGAGATCGGCAAGGAGATAGCGCAGCTGTCTCTTCTTTTGCATCTCAATTTATAGCCGTAATAAGAAGACACTCCAGATAGCCAGTAATTTTTCGCAGTAGAGAAGATCTTTGCTACCCTGAAAATCAGAGGAAATTGCAGCTTACAAAAACTGAGGCTTTTGAATAAATTGTTTTAGTTGGAAAAGGCACTCGCAGATTCCTAATTTTAGTAGACTAACATGGCTCGTGCAACTTCTTATGCTAAATCGTTCAGGAGTCTATGAGCTGCACATCCAGAAGTGGAGTTTTTCAGTGCTATTTAGAATCGAAAAAGAAAAATTCAGATTTCAGAAGTGGCGCTCAGAAACCTATATTTTCCCTTTTGATCCTAAATAGACTCCTAATCTAATCTTGCTTTTGGTATAAGATGCTTTATACCCCATTAGTTGCTGTAATAAATGGGCAACTCATATTTTTAACTGGCTGCAAGGCTGGATGGGGTATTCTGGGAGTTGAAGTCCATCTATGTTTGCTGGGGAATTCTGGGAATTGGAGTCCCTCTATACTGGCTGGGGAATTGTAGGATTTGAGATCCATTTAAATACTGGCTGGGGAATTCTGGGAATTGAAGTCCATCAGTGAGAGAGTTTGGGGTATTGGTTAAGGCATCAGGCTTGAAAGCAGAACATGGTGAGTTCTAGTCCTGTTTTAGGCATGAAAGTCGACTGGGTGACTTTGGATCAATCACCAGGAGATGGTGAGTTCTAGTCCCACCTTAGGCATGAAAGCCGACTGGGTGACTTTAGGCCAGTCACCAGGAGACAGTGAGTTCTAGTCCCGTCTTAGGCATGAAAGCCGACTGGGTAACTTTGGGCCAATCACCAGGAGACGGTGAGTTCTAGTCCCGTCTTAGGCATGAAAGCTGACTGGGTGACTTTGGGCCAATCACCAGGAGACGGTGAGTTCTAGTTCTGCCTGAGGCACAAAAGTCGATTGGGTGGTTTTGGGTCAGTCACCAGGAGATGGTGAGTTCTAGTCCCACCTTAGGCATGAAAACCAGTGGGGTTATTTTGCATCAGTCCATCTCTCTCAGCCCAGCCCACCTCACAAGATTGATGTTGTGGAGAAAATAGGAGGAGGAAGGCCTGTTAGATATGTTCACTGCCTCGAGTCATTTATAAAAATAATAAAGGCAGGATGCAAATAAATCAAATATACGCTGGCTGTGGAATTCTGGGAACTGAAGTCCATACACCTTAAATTTAGGGACGCGGTGGCTCAGTGGCTAAGATGCTGAGTTTGTCGATCGAAAGGTCGGCAGTTCAGCGGTTCGAATCCCTCATGCCACCTAACGGGGTGAGCTCCCGTTACTTGTCTCACCTTCTGCCAACCTAGCAATTCGAAAGCAGGTAAAAAATGCAAGTAGAAAAATAGGGACCCCCTTTGGTGAGAAGGAAACAGCGTTCCGTGCGCCTTTGGCGTTGAGTCATGCCGGCCACATGACCACGGAGACGTCTCCGGACTGCGCTGGCTCTTTGGCTTTGAAACGGAGATGAGCACCGCCCCCTAGAGTCGGGAACGACTAGCATGTATGTGTGAGGGGAACCTTTACCTTACACCTTAAATTTGCTGAGGCTAAGAAGCACAACTCCAGGGAATGTGGTTGATGGAAGTGGGGGGGGAGAGAAGGCCTTTTGTGGTTATTTGTGATGCACAACGTGCTTTCTGAACGTGCTCCAACGAAGCCCCGGAGAAAAGCGGCATGAGGTGAGAAGGAGAAAGGCGGCCTTCGGTGCCATTGTTGCAAGGAAGATGCCTCCTCGACTCTTAACATCGGTGCAGGAACTTCTGAATGGAGCTCCCAGGCTTCACGCCAGAGTCCTAGGAAGCAAACTCCCACTTCTTGTGTCTTTATTATGAAGCACCGCCATTTGCAAGCCTCCGGTTTCCAGCAGAGGTGCCAAGCTGACAGCTCCCCAGTTTGACGCCGGCTGGCAAAGCTGGCATCCAGTCAACACAGGAACCGGTGGACTGAGAAATAAAGAACCCCCCCCTTACAATTGCTTTGCCCACAGCTCTAAGGACGGGCAGCAAAAATGTGGCATTCGGTGAATTGTTTTATGCCTTAGTTGCTTAGCTTTCGGTTCCCGCCGAGGGTGGGATATGAAATTCTTGAACTATGTAGAGAAAAAGAAGACGATTCTCCCTTAATCCGTGTCGTTGGGAGAGTATTTTCGAGTGCTGAGGCCTTGGTACAGAGTTTTTGAAAAGCCGATCGCAGCTTTT